TGTTTTTAGAACTCTTTTACCATAGAAAAGTTGTTTAAACAATTGTAGCGCATTTTACTTTTTTGAATTAGTACTGTTTTATTTTTTAGCTACTAGTTAGTGTGATACCTCTTGGTTTGCATAGTTAAATTTTAGAATTGGGTGTTATTTTGAGTTGCATTCAATTTTCCTGCATTTTCTCATATCATTTAGAACTTGTATAAGTCGTTTCATTTTCGTTGAGCCAACTTCGAGTGTCATTCATGCTTAGCATTAAATCATTGCTAAGTTCATAGTGTAGTCTATTCCTAGAGTTATTTGCTTGCTGTTTTATTTCTTTAAATCTATTGCTGCAGAATTCATTTGAACTTTGAAAACTGTAGTGCATTTATGCTGTCAATTGGACTCAAAGTGGCTGGTTTGAAAGACCAAAATCTGCATCATGATAGCAGTTGGATAAAAAAGAGTAAAAGGCCAATTGAAAGTGAAAATTATGCTTGAACAATGCAGTAACAGGTTCATTTGAGTTGTCCTTGTTGATTTCACTTTTAAGTGTGATTTGGAGTCAAAATACTGAAGCATTAAATTTTTCAGCAAGCATTAAATGTGCAATTTCACAATTGCTGATAATCACAATTTCAAATTTCAAATTTCAAATTGTTTTTACATTTGCTACGTGCTGTTACAATGAATCAAGTGGTCAAAAATGTGAATTAGGAGCCCAAATTGCTGCTGCACTGAAATTTCAAGCAAGCTAATTCATGAGAATCAGCACCTTTGCATCATTAAAATTCTGCAGTTTCTTTGTTATCCTTTTAATTGTTTTATTAATCTACTCTAGAACCATTCTTAGGTTTCAATTTGAGTGCTAACCTCCTTCAATCACCTTTGTTATTGCTTGTCTTCATTCGCTTTCTTAAGTTTTGTCAAGTCACGTTAACAATTCTGGTTTCCAGCCAGCTTCTCACTTTTGATTTTCTTGCTTTATTCCTCTGGATTTGATGTGCTGTTTTTACCTAATTGTGGTGTGCAGAATTTGTTCTTAGAGGCTTACCATAGCTAGTGGTAGCATTTTAGGGGAGACTTGCAAGAACTCTTGAACCAAGTGTCTTTCCAAGCACTCTGAAAAAGAAAATAGCATAATGAATACGTGAATGAGAGGGAAAACAACTGCTACTTGGTGGACTTTGAGTGCCTAAATTTGAGAGAAAATTGTCAAATTTTGAGAGAAAATTTGAGTGTCTATCACATATAATTAATTTATTTCTTTTAATTCTTTTTAATACCATTCTCGTTTGTATTTAATGTTTGTAATAGTTTGTTTATTGTTTAATTTAGATTAATTAACATTAAAAAATATTTTTAAACCTAAAATATAAGAAATTGTTATGTATTATATCGTCCTTCTAGGAAGAGAATAGGAAATCAGATACTGTTTTCAATTCGGTTTTCACAACATCGACATCATACTTTTGTCATATACGCTTTCAGATATATTCTTATTTCTTGCTCTCTCTCTAATTTTAGTGGTAGCGAACTCATTACTGTCAATGTAACGCATATTGTTACAGATATTTCAATATTATGAATGGATCAATATTATGCTTAAATGAATAATTTGTACTTCATCTGTTTCGGTAACACTGATGAATCTTTATTTGTCGTTTGAAATTTTTCTATAATTATCAACAAAATCTAATATTAAAACATAATTTTTACTTTGAAGGACAATGGAAGAAAAAAATAGAAACAAACAATATATTGTTGCTTTATACAGTTCAGGTTTATAAAATTGTTGCCTCATACATTTCAGGTGAAATGAAATTGTGTTGCAGTGTGCGTAGAGTTTGTGAATTTCGATATGGTATAATAATATTTGTTTTCTTAAATATATTCTAATTGAATGTGTATTTGTGTGAATACTAACATATTAAACATGATTTTGTTCTATGTAATATTACTGTGTTCAATATTCGGTTCCTGATTTTTTCTTTGGGCTTTTGCTTTTGGAGTTTTGAAAATTTTCTTTTTAGTTATTTGTTTAATAACTTCTTTTCACTTCCCCTGTATTTGTTTAATAATATTTAGATTCTGTATTCTTATATATTATTATATTATATAATTATATAATATGCATTTAACTATTTTTTTCATACATAATTAATTATTAAAAGACCTCTCCAGCAAAAACATAATATTTACCTATGATTGCTTATCTATCTTTAGATTGGAGATAAAATTTAATGTGTAGTAAATTCAAGAATTCTATAAAATTCGACCAAAATAGTAACATCCACTTTGATACCATCAAACGTTGATACCATCATAACTATATCAAAGATCTTTCATTCTAAATATATCATTTCTCAAAATTAGCCTCGAACAGAAGTTACAAAGTCCTCTCCTGAAAACATCTCTACAATAAAGTTTGAAAAGTTATTTTGAGATGACAGAGAAGAAAAGGTTGGTGTCAGGAAATAAATAAAAAAGTTGTTGCCATTGTAATTGCAATTGCAAGAAATTATATGAAATGAAACCATATGTAAGAAAAATCCTTTTTACTTTTTAAAATATCAAACCAAATTTTAATGTGTAAACATGTCTTCTAAGGTAAAATAGAAATAAAAAAGATTAGAAAGACCTTTTTGCGAATGGTGGTTGGTATCTCCTAAAGAATAAAAGATTCGTTATAACTTGGAACCTTCTAATGTAATGCATGATGATTTTGTTTATCGTATAAAGATGATGATAGGTATGGTGAGGTATAGGTAATATTTTTTAGTCACTCCTTTTATCTGAAAAAAATTTTTTGTTACTTATTGTCTGTCAAAAAATATTTATGAATTTTTTATATCTGTGGGTACCATTAATATTTGTAGATAATTTTATACTATTTTTTAAAATTTTAAATAAAAATATTTTAAAACAAACTTTTAAAATATAAATTTATATGAAAAAATATTTATTAAATACAGTTTAAATCAAATTACAGAATAAAATATTGATGTGAATAAGTTGGTTTTTCTACCACTAGACATTAACTAAATAGATATCATAACGCTAACAATTTATTACTTCATTACTTAAATTCAGGTCATCCAATAATGACACTAAATTTAAAATTTATTCCTAGCTCCTTGAGTTTATTTTATATTACTTGAAGTGAGCAAAAAATACTCTAGATAAAAATGGAGAAAATTTACTTTCTTTCTATTACCTTGCTGGAATACTCGGAAAAACTTATAGTGATTATATAAGCATTTTAGGAGACGAAAAAAAACTTCAAAAAAACTATTTTTTCTACTTTTTGCATAAACTAAATATAGTAGTTTAAAAAAAAGTCTAAAATAAATGGAATATTTTGATCTTAAGCTCAACTACTAAATATCTAATGTAGTAACAACAAACAACATACCTCGTCACTGTAATAACAAAAAAAATTATTTGACAGATAAATGCCCAAGAATATCTAAAGGAATGTAAATTTTAGTAAATTTAAACAAGAACTCAGATTTTATTGTCGAATGTACACTAAACTAGTTCAAGAAAATGAAAGTTTTGTACAAGAATTTACGCAAGAAGTGGCATTGAACTCACTAATTCTAAGGGATTTAAAATCAGGGGAGAAAGAATAATGGTAATGACAAGCAAAACACACATCTGCTTCTGTAAGGGTTTAGACATCAAATGAAGTATTCTTGAGGGTTTAGACATCAAGAGCAGCTCGTGTCGTGTTTTAGAGCAAAGAGCAGCTTGAACATTTTGAGGGTTTGGACATCAATAGCAACTCCTTGTGTCGTGTTTTGTGGAAGACAGAGTCAATGACCTTCTTCTTAAACTCTTCTTCTATCTTTTCAAACATGCTTCTTCTTATGCCAAGGCTTCAGAATCATTGAATTCCTTTCGTGATGTCGAAGCCCTTCTTTCGCCCCCTTCCCTGCTGCTTAGTATGTTGATTAAGATGTAAGCAGATGATGATTTTGATTTAACTTCTACTTATCTGTCCACCAACTTCCACCTTAGCTTTCACCAACTAAACAAAAGGAAACTGCTGGCACAAGATTTTCACTGCAAACTTAATAAAGACTTCCTTACCGACTATGCACTAGAATCCCCAGTACCAGATCCTACCATCATAAGTGACTACCCTTTTTGGTTGTGGCGTTGTATTTCCAAAAGCAAGAACTTTCAAATAAAGTTCTTTCCCTCAGGTACTTTAAGCTTTCTAGAGAGATAGAGATGGCCTGCTTAATTGGAGCTTCCTAAGTGAGAAGGCATTCCCCCAGACTTGAATGGCTATACCACAGCTTATATCTGACCTTCTATTCCAACTACTTTAAGTGAAATATCTTTAGAGAATAACTGAACTTGTAAACTGGATTTGACCCTTGGGTCATGTGCTCTTGAAGTGACCTCCTTTCAAAGACCTATAAGTCTTCGACTACCTTTACTTTGAAGAAGAAGATTTAGCCATTGGTTTGGCTACCACTCTAGTGGAGCACCGTGATAAGGAGCCTATTACTTACTTCTTTATCATGATCTCAAGACAACTTAAGAAAGGGATTTAATGTTGGTTACTCTAAAAAAGTGGGCTTAGAATCTAACAATTCCCACAAAACCTGTTAGTAAGGTAATAATAGATCATGCCTTGGAAAGGCTACGCTATTTATATCTTTAATTAATATAGAATATCAATTTGCTAAGAGCCTGCATCCAGGTGGTTCCACACTACGACACTCCACTCGGCTTTGCAGGTGAATCTCTTCAAAGTTAACATTTAAGACAGTTTTTCAACGGTTGTGTTCTAATAATTGTAGGCGCATACTCAATTAAGGCTGTGTTAGAGTAAGCAACTCCATTAAATTATATAAATTTTTATCATATGAGAACTTATTCACAAACTCGATTATGAAATTTACTCGAATAACTTTAAAAATTTTACTGTGACAAGTTTTTTTTCTTTATGTATTCAATTGAAATAAGCTGAAAAAGCATACAGGAAGGTCATATGTCCAATGTAGTTCTTTGAAAGGTCCCCTATATTAGGACCACTCTATTCATATACATTGGTAACGTAAATAGCAAGGGTATGTTAGGGCACATTTTTCTGTAGTACACCTTATGGAGACGCTGTGTGTAGTATGCACATATTTTTTAAATGAAATCCCAAAAGGACAAGGAACTATACAATACCTAAGATAGTTAATAGAGTGCCATATTGGTTGTAATTTTAATATGGTGCGAATTTACCAGTGGAACATGTTTATAGCAAAAGGTTAGAAAAATAAGGTCAACCTGTGCAGTTTTGATCCCGCTTTATGGACTCAGTGGATGATGTACCTCAGATTTGGTAGGATCCAGAGCCGGCTGAGATATCTCAAGACCCTCTTCTTTAACAATAGATAAATACCTGCCAAATAATCAACAAGTCCTATAAGAGGAACATAATAATCACCAGAGATATAAAAAAAATATTACTTCTCATCTAGTATGGTCAACTAAGACCTCTAAACATCCTACATGATCATACAAGGAAGAGGGACGAAGAAATGATAAGGGGTGTATATGGGAAAAAGGTGATCATTGTTGGAATGCATTGGTTTTTATAGCAATAACAGTTCACCAACATTTTTGGATTTCCCTTTTGCAGTGCACAGTTGGATAGGGGCTGAATCCACTTCAGGTAATTAGTTCTCCAGGTTAACCAGAAGGCTATTTCTATAGAAAGTTCCTTCAGTTCTTATAGAAATCTTTTCACCTTCAGTTTTTTTAATTATTTTTTATTATGTTTTCACATTCGCCATAATGCTAGCAGAGCTTTACTTCTTTAATCATAGTGTTGTTTCCCAGATGACCCTAAAGGAATTTAATCTAAAGAAACCTTCTGCATACCACAATTACATACCGTTGCTAGGACTAAAGGTAGATCTCTCTTATACTTGATTGTTTAATGGTCATTTACAGTTGCGTTCTGAGGTGAATTGATGATTATCTTTGGATAAAAAATTTCAGACTTTGCTACGTGGAGTAGTTGGCTTACCTCCTTCAAATGGAATTCTTCCTCAATCTCATGCACACCAAAAGCCTGGTTGTTCTTAATAAACAGGTGGATAGGATAAGTGAGTGTCAATAACTGTCATAATTGCATAAAATATTTAATATGGTGATTTTTATTTTTCAATGACAGATGATCCGAAAAAAGATGGTTAAAAGTCAAGGAAAACATAAATCTTAAAGTTGGCAATTCTGAACATGGAGAGATGCAAGAGTATTTATAGAAATAGATAGCTATCCACATATATGCATATAAGCCCTTAATCCTCTTGTCACAGTCTAATTATGATAATTAATACATATCTAAGTTTTCTATTGATCGTGAATTTGATTGCTTGCAGAATCATTTAGGACCTTAAGCACAAAGAAATTGCCAACAATATTGTTGAAAAGAAATTGTCAACAATATTCTTGGAGAAATTTTATAAAACGAAGCAAAAAAACATTTGCCTTTTTGGATTAAAATTATCAACAAGAAGGTCCTCATCCTAAAGAAATATATAGTTGTATTATTATGTTTGGATGCAAAATCCGTTTCACAAATCACCTATGCCATGATACAGCATTATTTCACTCAATCTTTATCCATAAACTTAATCTTCAGAAAAGATTATTACAACTAGAGAAAAAAATTTGCCTGAGCCTTTTAAACCATTTTTTTTTATTTATAGCAGATATATGTATGACATGGTTACTCCAACTTCCATCCATCCACAAAACCATCCTAATGAAAAAGCATCACAACAAAATCATTTGACAAGAACTACCGCCAGTAATGAGTCAGAAGTTACAATGAGTTTTAGATCAAACAAAAATTGCACACATGAAGGATTAATAACCTTTTCAACAATATTGTTGACAATTTCTTTTTTCCTAAATTCACGATCAAAAGAAAACTTAGTTATGTATCAATTGTCATAATTGAATAGGAAAAGCAAGATTAAGGCTTATATGCTTATCTATTTCTATAAACACTCTTGCATCTTTCCATAAAATTCAGAATTTACAGTTTTAAGATCTCTGTGTTACTTAATTTTTAACCATCTTTCTTCGTACCATCTACTATGAAAAAAATCACCATATCAAATATCCCATGTAATTATGATCCATCAGCATTTGGTGTTCCCCCACACGACACTCCAGCCAACTACAACAATCAATGTAGTGCAAAAGTTTGATTAACATTATAAAAAATATATGTGCAAGTAGAAATACAATATGGTATGGTTAAGACAACTACCTTCATTTATTTCCCCATGCCTCCTCCATGATCTGTTTGCCTCCTTGATCCCCCTACATTCAAATTCTAGTGAATGATGCAATTTTTATATCCAAATCACGCTATCTACAGGAAGGGAAATAACTGTTCATCTTATTTACCCATCATGAAAGCCAAGGAAACATTTTGCTGATCCCTTCGCCGATTCGGTCCCCTTCCAAGTCGTATTCCGCGGCCACCACTAGAACGACGTCGCTTGGCCGACTACTCCTGCCACCACTGAAGAACCTTCCAGAGCTTTGAAACGATGCCGTTCGATGACGAGAAAGAAGCGGGAAACCTATGGATCTAGTCCAGGAGCCGCTTCTAACATCGGCGACTCGGGGACGGGAGAGTGGCAGAGCGGAGAGGGAGTAGGCAGAGGAGGTCGTGGCGGAAGTTTGGTAATGACCTGGTGCTCAGGGTTTTGATCTGGGGGAAGTTAGGTTGAGTGTGAAATCTCGAAGCAAACCTAAAAAAGAATTGAGGGAAAGAGAAAAGTGAGAAGGAAAAATAAATTATAATTTATGAACCTCTTCAAAAACAATTATAACTTTCATTGTTATTATTAGATTTTAAATAATTGACCAAAATCATTCTAAATTATGACTGAAATTTTTTTAATTTTTCTAAAATAACATGCACTAATTTTTTTTCTAGTGCGGTTTAATTCTCTATTTTATTTTGAATTAGAAATTAAAATCATTACATTTTGAAACTAATAATAAAGAAAAATGTTGTAAAAATATTTTCACAAAGATAATTATAAAGTTAGTAAATTAAATTAAAAAAATAAAATAAGTTAAATATTGATATCTTGTAATCGAACAAAATTACAATTTTCATTAAAATCAAATCTTCAATATGTATATAACCTTTAAAAGATATATATATAATTAAAAATTCAATTTTTTAAAATAAAATGATTTTTATGTTATTAAATATGTTAATATATTCCTAATATATTTATGATTTAAGAATAATTTATATTTAAAATATTAATTTTTTATTTTATATTACTTTTTCATTTTTAATTTTATCTTTTCATAATTTTTAATTATTTTATTTAATAAATTATTAAAAATAATTTGTATTTGTAACATCCCAAAATTAAAAAAATAAAAATAAATTAAACTTAACAATTGACTTTACCTAAATAAGATAATGGTGAAAAACTATATTTCTTATTATAAGCTCCACCTTTCATTAATACTTGCTTATCCTTAACATTTTCTAAAAATCACACAATTAAAGTAAGAGACGATAAAACACATAAACAAACACAAAATAAGGATAAGCTGATATCAAAAGAAACAACAAATCCTAAATCTAGATCTCACCATTCGGATGGTGATCTGTGTTGCTTTACAGAGTTATTGTGAATGAATCTCACCTTACCATACTAACAACCGAAAATAATCGGTTAGAGACAGTAATCGGTTTGTTTAATTAGTTACAGGTTTTCTGTTTTTTCCCCCCTTCTTCCCATGAACTCTATAGATTGAGTTTCCCCGTTTCTTTTTCAGTAGAACAAATGATGTAGAAACACCATTACAGAGAATAAACAAAGTTGATGTTTTTCTTACCTTTCGTGAAGCCTTTGTGCAGATCTTCTCCTCTTCTCCTCCCAACAGCCATGGTTGAACGCTTGCAGAGAGCTCAAGCTTTTTCCCTCTCTAACTTCCACAAGAGCCTCAAACTCTCTTTCTCTCTCATTCGCGTGTGATGAAAGCAGCTTGTCTGCCATAAGCTTTCTAAGAGATATTTTATCTCTTACGGGGTTCTGAGCAAAGTGAGCCTTTTTGGGCTTCAAGGGATGTTGGGCCTTATTCCCAATAGCTTTATAAAAAAGATAGCTCATGATAACAAAAAGAAAAAGTGGATAAAACTATTCGATTCCCTTTATTTAGCAATTTTGAGAGGATTACTCAACTAAATCCCTTACCTTTAATAATTATCATTTTCATGTGGCCCAACATATTTGTAGGTCTAACACGAATCCTGAGATTACTTGTTTTTAAATTTAATAATAATTTATGAAAAAAATATTATTTTTTCAAATAATTATATTTTTACTAAAAGTATTCTTTTGGGTTTTAAGGATGTAAATCTTTCTTTTATATATATATATATATATATATATATATATATATATATATAATGACATTACTTAAAATAATATCACTCGGAGGAAATTACATCTCATAAGAATACAAACATGCATGGGACAAAACAAAGACATATGGTAAAATTTCAAAACCAAATAACATAATTTTGAATCAAAGTAATGAACAGAAAATATTAAAATAAAATGAATAAGAAACATTTCTTAACTTTCAACTGGTAGCAGTAAAAACACTCAGTGTTTCACAAGCAAAAACAAGAAAAAGTGAAAAAAAAAAAACTTGTTTCAGAAAGGGTTATGAAAGATGTAAAATAAAAGCAAAAAGAAAAAAATGATGTTACCTTGGATTAATGTATGGCTTCTGAATAGTGATTAACTGAGTCCCAAAACTGTACTATAATTTTATTTTATTATGTTTGTAAAAGAAAATTAAGATACTACGTGATCTATAAACAAGCAATAAGCAATTCAAGAATTCAGAAATATAGGAACTGATAAAGTATAGTAGTGTTTAAAGAAGTTGGGTGAATATATATATATATATATATATATAAGAGTGACTTTAGGATTAGTCTTGTAATTCGTCTTATTTCGTATGTGAATAATGACAAAATTAGATATGATTTTGTGACGGGACCTTATAACTCCACTTACATATATTTAGGCCATTTTGTTTATTTTTTATGATTTTAAAATATTTTAAACCTAATAGGCAACAAAAATAAATCTTTTTTTTAATAGTATTATACGAACCCGCTAGTTCATTCGTTTGATCCGAAAATACATATTGACATAACATATCTTTCGGTAAAAATATTATAAAAACGAATCATGAATTATAATTGCACCAGTAGGGACCGGACGCCAGATAGGCTGGACGTCCGCGCAATCACAGTAGATTAAACACGCTACCCTTCTGCTTATCATCAAGGGTTGGGCGTGTCAAGCCAGACACCCATACGTCCGCAATCATGCAACTTTGCCGCTCGTCATCCGGATAAGCAGCAATGAGGCCGGCCGGTCGTACCGCCTGCTAACCATGCCACCTATAGGGATTAGTTGGCCGAAAGACCAAACTTTAGGTCCATAGCGAAAACTATAAATACATATCCAAAATGAGTGGTAGATAAGTTGCATTTACTGCGTATTTATTACGGTTCGATAGAGAAAGTCATTGCTCTCAAATTGATTTTGGCATTGAATCATGATTAAGCAAGGTTAAAGCACCATTGAGTCATGATTATATAGATACCAAAAGAAAAAAGTCTATTATAATCACTATAAATAAAATATGTAAATAAAATATTTAATACTTATGAATTATCTGTATTTTTTATCTTTCTCAATACCAAACTCAAACTTCATAGTATCTTCAAGCGAAAAAGAAAAGAGAAACGAATAAATATAAAAAAAAAAACAATTAGTGTAATAGAAAAATTAAAAAAGTTGAAATTAGTATTTTCAGTCCTAAAAAACAAATACAATTATGTTAAATTAATATGTTATATATATATATATAGCATAATAATTTAATAAAATTAAAGATATTAATGGAATTGTTTGTGTAAGACCCATAAAAAAAATCTATATATATATATATATATAATATATATATATATATATATATATATTTATTTATAGTAGTAAATTTTAGTATTTTATTAGTAATAATAATTTTAATGGATATAAAATTGTAAATTTTGGATATAATTATAGTATTTAGAAGGAGAGGTCAAATTTTGGTACCTTATTTAGTAAAATTTTTTTAATGGAATAGAAAAGTAAATGTAAATAGTAAAAAGTAAATAGTAAAATAAAATTTTCAGCATTAGATTCCTTAGCATGGAAGAAGTAGTAGGTAGAAATTAAGATCAGATTTGGTGAGAAATGATGAAATATGATTTTAAATAATATTAAAATATAAATAATATTAAATATTAATGAATAGTAAATTTTTTTTACTATAAATAGCCATGGGAGGGAAGGGTATTTTGCACCAAGAAAAGAGGAATCAAGTGAGAGCTTGAGAAAGAGAAAGAAAGAGTTAGGGAGAAATTTTTAGTTGCAAGAAAAGTAGAGGTTCTGAAGGGTTTCGGGGAAACAAATTCGGGCAGGAGATAAGTCTGGAATAAGGTAGGGGAGCTAATCCTTCTTGTATATGATTTTTTATCCATGTTATGATAATGAATAGAGTTATGAGTATGTAAAATTTTGGTAATGGTAGTTATCTATTCACTTATATAAATTTAGTTTTCATTATTATAATTTCTTATTTTCGAGTTACTGTTGTGAAAATTTTCTATTAATTGTTTTCACCGTTGGATTTAGCTAAAATTTTAGTATGTGAATCCTAAGACCTATTACTAAACTTTGACCGTTCAGATTTGAAATAGAAGTCTGTACTTGGAGAAATAAATACTGCAAGTTTGAGTAAATTAGTCACCCTGAGTTCTGTATAAGTTGTCTCGGTAAAAATATAGATTTTGACCTATTTAACCGTTAGATCAACCTCAAAATTGATATATGATTCTAGGACATATTAATACAATTTGACCGATCGATTTGTAATTGAAGGTCATGTTTAGAGAAAGAAATTTCGAAAGTGTGAAACATCGATGAACACTGTATTGTTGTTCTTAAGCTATCATGGTACAATTTCATATATATTTCATCTACCGTTAGATGAGCCCCAAAATTTAGTATGAATTCATAAGACATATTAAGTCATTTTGACCGTCAGATTTGTAATTAATGTCTGTGATTAGGGAAATTAGTTCCGCATTTGAGTATAACCGAAAACACTTAAAATTCTGCACCTGAGTTACCTCGGTAAAAACCTCAATATCTATTAGTTAACCGTTGGATCAACCTGAAATTTTAATATAGTTTATAACAAATAGTGAATTTTTGTGACCATTCAGATTGAAATCGGAGTACCGATTTAGAGATATAATTTCGTATCTTCTCAGGGATCTCATATGCTAAATTTTATTTTTTTTGATATCTATATTAAATTCGTGTTATATTATATGCTGTGTTTAAAATCTGTAAATAAGAAATTTGTTAAAAACTAGTTGAGGAACACTTTGGCTAAGGAAAGACTGGTACTTAAGTTGTCCATTTGACGCACTCTCTTTCCTGGAAAGTCTACTCGACAAGTTTTTGACTTAAATCATATGAACAGATTTGTACGTTAAATTATTATCATATATGTTGTTGGAATGGAAAATGTATGATTATTCATGTTATTATGGTAGATATGAAATATGAATTATAATTGTGATTATTGCATTTTATTATATTGCAATTGAGTTTATGGTCTGAACATGATATGAGTTTATGGGGAGATTTGTAAGGATATAATGTGAGTTGAGGAATATGAGTATGGTATGAGTCTTGGGAGAGATTCAATATGTTATGGTATTTGTGTATATGTTGATGTTGAGAGTCCCGTTAAGTTTTGGGTATCCTGATACTCTAATAATTATCTAGTCTCAAGTAGAGAGGGATGAATTATGTGGTGAGAGGAGCAGGAGGTCCTGGTCTATGTGCCTGTTTTGGACATAGTGAGGGGCTATCCTGTGGGTGGTATGGAGGGCAGGATGTCCTGGTCTATGTCGGTTTTGGACATAGTGAGGGGACTAACATTGTGGATGGTATGAAGGGGCAGGATGTCCTGGTCTATGTGCCGGTTTTGGACATAGTGAGGGGATAAGAATGGCATCACAAGTGGGGAAGCTTTCGTTGAATTACTCAACAACATATCGTCGGGGATAAGTGTATATTGGGTATTGTGAAATGAGTGTCTATTGGGTACTGTGGTGTCTATTGGGTATTGTGAGACGAGTGTTAATAGGAAACTGTGGTATGAGTGGTGTCTAACATAATTATATATGATGTTTATATCAAGGTAATTATACATGTTTTATAAATGATTTGTTGCATGTTAGCTCACCCTACTTGTTTGTGTTTTCTTTGTGTTTGGGTATGTGCGATGATCGTATAATTCGTTATACGGAGCAGATGAAGGAAGTCGGCTGAAACAATACCAAGGAAGAAAGAGATCGAAGAATAAGTTAGAAGAATTCAAGTTAATTTAGGAGTATAGTTGAAATCTGAGTTAAATATATCAACTGTGAATTTTTAAGTGTGAGATTACGGGATGTTACGTAAATTAATGTACAATATATAAATTAGAATTATCCAATGTGGATTTTTGGGATGTTACAGTTTGGAACTAATAATACATGAATAATTAATTTTTAAATCTTTTATAATAAGTTTGTAAGTCAAAAATTGATGAAGAAAAACAGATCGCGGTTAAGAAGCGGATCTGAATCACGGTTATTTGCGTTCTTGTTGTGAGAGAGATTTCTGCATCAATTATTTGACTTACAAACTTATTATAAAAGAATTTAAAATTAATTATTCATGGTATATTATCCAAACTGTAACATCCCAAAATCCCACATTGGATATTCATAATTTATATATTGTAACATTAACAGTTACGAGACATCCGTAATCTCACACTTAAAAATTCACAGTTGATATATTTTAACTCAGATTTCAACTATAAACTTCCTAAATATAACTTGAATTCTTCTAACT